GCTTCAAGGTTGTATTCTTTCTTCCTTTTGGTTTCTGTCCTCCTAAGAATAGTCCAGTGGTTTGTGTAAGCTTACTATTGGGTGAGATTTGTGCTGAGTTTTTGTTTTTGTTTGTTTTTCCTCTGATGGGCAAGGCTGAGTGAGTGAGGTGGTAATCCTGTCTGCTGATGATTGGGTTTGTATTTTTGCTTTGTTTGGTGTTTAGATGAGGCCTCCTGCACAGGGTGCTACTGATGGTTGGGTGATGCCAGGTCTTGTATTCAAGTGGTTTCCTTTGTGTGGGTTCTCACTATCTGATACTCCCCAGGGTTAGTTCTTTGGTAACCTAGGGTCTTGGAGTCAGTGCTCCCAGTCCAAAGGCTCAGGGCTCAACCTCTGGTCGGGAATGAATATTCCACAAGTGTTTTGTTATGGTGTTAAGTGAGATTAAAACAAATAACTAAAAACGAGAAACCAAAGATGAACCCCGGACAAATGGCAGTTACAAAATCAGGCAAGCAATAGTGGAATTAGAATAGTGGATTATACACGTATACATATATACCCATAAGCAAAATCAAAACAGTCCAACAAAAATAAAGTACAATAGATTGACCCAGCAAACAAAGGAAACCAAAAATTGTATCCACCAGTTAAGAACAAAACTAATTAAAGCACAAACTGAAAAACAAAACTAAAGCAAAGTGCCAAGTGGGGAATAAAGCAATGAAAACAAAATTAACAAATATGTTAAGAGGAAAGGGAACAAAGGAAAGAAAGAAAGATTATATATGCAAAGTTAAATAGAGGTAGATAAAGAAGATTTATACGCATTAAAGACTATCTGCAAGGGGAAAAGAACAGTAGGAAAAGCAAACAAATAAATAAATGTAGAAAAAATAATAGTAGGTTTAAAAAATTAAAATGTAAAATGTAAAAGAAAAGAGGGGGAAAAGGAAGAAAAAAGGAAAACTCCACAGAACTTCAAAAGCCCAATGCAGAGGCAGAGGTTTATAATGACAATAAAAAATGTGACTGAGGGGGGAAAAAGCTCAAAAGCTTAATTAGTTTTCATAGCGACAACTAAAATGGGGTGGGGGGATGGGGAAAAAAGAGAAAAAAATCCAAAAGAATCTACAGAACAAGTCAAAACATAAGAATAATAAAAATTTTTCTTGAGTTACTGCTGTCAGAGTCCTTTCCCTCGCTGAGAGTCACAGTCCACCTCACCTCCCCAGAATGCCCTCCAACACTGTGCTGATCTCTGTACCTGCTGTGGGTGCAGCTCAGATTCTAATCTGGCCCTGCTTCTGTGTGTTCTTGCCTCCAATGTCCACAGCAATAAGAACAATTGCGTTTTCTTTTGTGGGAGCTCTCAGTGTCCTTTTATATATTCCATAGACACAGAGTCTGCCTCATTGATTGTGTGGATTTAATTAGCTTGTACAGCTGGTTGGAAGGTTTTGAGTCATCTTCCTTAGTCACACTGCCCCTGGCTTTTAACTGTGGTTTTATTTCCACCTCTGCATGAGGGTTGTCCACTGGCTTTGCTCCTGAGGCTGCCCTGGAGGACTTGAGTTTGCCCAAGTGAAGGCCAGGTGTGGAGGTGGTGCAGTTGTTTGGGTGGCAGGGGTACTGGTAGCACCAGGTACTCAGGGGAGTTGATGTCTAGGGCAGCAGGAAATACAGTGCTCTAGAAGGGTATGGCAACCAATATTGGCCAATACACTCCAGCATTCTTGCCCGGAGAACCCCCGGACAGAGAAGTCTGGCAGGGCACAGTTCACAGAGTCATAAAGAGCCAGACATGACCGAAGTGACCCTGCATGCATAGATGTAAGACTTTTTTTGCCTGTGGCAACTCTGCCCCAGTGAGGGCTGAGCGTGAAGGTGGCTAGCTGCTTGGCTTGCAGGGACCCTGGTGGTGCCAAGTGTGCAGGGAACATGGAGTGCCTCTGCCACAGGAGTTGTGGCCCTATCAGAGTCTTTTTTTGAGCCTCTTGTAGCTGATGATCAGAAGGCCTCTTTGGCCAGTCTTTCTCCATAGCTCTACCTGTTCAAGCATTTAGAGGGCTCCCTTGCCCTGGTGTCCTTCTCTGTCGTTCAATAGGTCAGGCACATAAAGGGGGCTCCCTGGCTGGTGTCCTAATCTGTAGATCAGTGCTTCAGGTAGTTAAAGGGGCACCGTGGGTGGGGTTGTACCCTGTAGTTCAATGTGTCAGGTGTTTGATGGGCCAGCCTCTCTATTGTTCAGCTGCCAATGCTGGCGTGCGGGGAGAGTCTATAGTGATGACTCCACCCCCTATGCGTGACTCAGCAGTATTGCCTTCCTTCTGTGGCTACCTGGCTTTCCTCCACAGGCATTTCGCACCACAGTCTCCTCCCTCACATCCCCTCAATCTGTCTCTCTGCAGTCAGCAGCAGCCGCCACCCTGGGATTGCCCCACAATCCCTAAACTCTAGCTCCCAGCTTCTGTGCCTTCTAGGGAACTTGCATCCCTGACTGGAGTGGGTATGGCTGCAGCAAGGACTGTCTGATTCTCATTCCATTTAGACTGCCACAGATCAGCTGTTTCACTCTCAGCCTTAAATGTTGCTCTTCTGACTCAGGATTGCCACAATGTGGTTATCAGACCCCTGCTTCAGTTCCCCCACCTGCTGAGAGCGGGTCCAGTCCTACTAACACTCCTGTTTTCCCCCCTAGTTCCTTCATCCTACTTTGGTCTATATATTCTTTTCCACTGGTCAGGTACTCCTGTCTGCTCTCAACTGGTGTTCTGCATGCACTTCTGTGTCTGAAGGGGAATCCCTGGTGTATCATGGAGAGAGATGTACTCCATGTCCACCTACTCCTCCACCATCTTCGGTAGTAAATTATTTTGTTCTCTGCCATTTCTTCCTCCTAAACTAATTTTCCATGTTCACTGACTTCTCAAATTTACATTTTGCATTTATTTACCTGTATCTACTCACATGTGGGAGGATTTCTAGCCTCTTTACGCCAACCACTCTTTTGTCCTGGTTGGGTAAATCTACTCATCCATGGTGTAATCTAGACTCTGGGAGTGTAATATATGCTGGTCATCTCAACAAAAAGGGACAAGGAGCTTAGACATCATGAGAAGGCATGTCTGAAATCTGAATACCGACATGGCAGACTAAGGCTGCTATTTTCAGGCAAAATGATGTTAGATCCCAGGGGGAGGGAATGCTGGATCTCTGTGAGCTCAGAGTGTGTATAGTAAAAAACCTATTACTGTACCAATCTCCATGAAATTCCATGAATTAGCACAATTCTAGAAGATTTGGCATGTGTACTCCCGAAGGCCTGGACTCCTGCTCACAAAAATTCAGTACCATGTTTACAAGCCATGGCATTAGCATTTTTATATTCATTATTATTCCAGGCTATATCATACATTCTAATTATATCATCTTCCTTCTGTTTTTGTAAATCAAAGCCAACAGCTTTTAAGAGTTTAATGCTGCTAGACCAAATTTAGGGATAGAGTCTGTGGAACTGGGTAGAGTGGACACTAATAATGAAGGTGGTAACTATAGACCTCATGGTACAAAAATAGAGTCACAGGAGGATTAGCTATTTTTTTTTTTCTTTTTTTCCAGAAGAGGGACCTTCTAGACCCTAGGGATTAATGGTTATGTGTGAGACGGGCTAGGGATTGGGAGATAATTGCAGCAGAAGTATAAATTTTCTCTATAGTTATGACAATTACATAAAGTCCAATGGAGAGTTGTTGCTGTAATCTGATCCTTAAAGGATCATGCATATGAATCACAGACATGGCTAAGGCATGTGGTGCTGCTCAAGGCTGGGCTCTAGAAGTAAGGAATTGCCCAACATGAGGGACATGAGTTCTGACAAATACTGACAAACAATGATCCCCTGAGTGGGACTGGAACTGTAAGGAACAGAGAAGCATAAGGTAGGTGTTGCTGGAATATTTTTGGTAGGGGCAGGGTAAAGTCTTCCACTTTGTATTTTGTTAATCTCAGTTTTTCTCTAAAGCATAGACCAAAAAGGATATTTTAAAATAAGACACATTCTTTTTCTTCCTATCCAGAATCTTTAGCCAATTTCTACAGATGTTTCAACAGAAAGCTTGATTTAAAAAAAAAAAAAAAGAAAGAAAGAAAACGTTGAATGTAATGACTTTCTTGGTCTGTCCATCATACGTGAGTCTCACTTAGCTGAGGTGTTCAGAGAACCTCTCAAGCAGAGATACCCCTAGCTCCAATTTGCCACACCAGCCACTTATAACAGAAGAAGAAAATAAAATAAGGAGGGAGAATTCAATTTCTTCTTTACTCCTCCTCATAAACCTGCTTCTTCATCCCCCAGAGAGAGTTACTGACTTTCCTAAAGCCATTAATTCATAACCTTGTTAGAGAACAATTATTATTACTTTCAGCATACACTCCACAGCTCTAAAAATTTTTCTTTCTAGAATTCAAACTGAAGTGTCATCCCATGTCAAAGGTCTTTAATGTTCATTACTAACATTAAGCTGAATCATCCTCATACTGCATTCATGTAACCTCTTATATGTCACTTTGTTAGAGAGGACTTCTGTCATGATAAATTTAAAATGACCACCAACTTCATCTACTTGTCATGTTTTGTTTTACTTCAAAGCATTTATTTTTCTACCATCTACCTGCTGTACATGTGTATATGTAAATATATATGTGCACTATATATATACATATATATGTATACAATTGTATACATGTACATATTTGCTGTTTATTTAGCTACTGTCTCATTCCTGAACTAGTAATATTATGAAATCAAAGGCTTTGCTTTCTACACTTAGCAAAATTATTGTTTTTGAAGATTTGAATGAATCCATACTTTAAAAGCTAGCATATAATCTCCTTCACAATTTCCTACTGATTAGTGCTCACAATTTATTATATTCTTTTCTTTGAGATGGTTTGACTTTTTAAATTTATTTGATCATTTTTTATCTTCTCTGGGATTCCAAGAGAACAGGGAGAAGATGTTCCCCTCAAATGCCACTGACTTCCACCCCTCCTCTTTTCTTCTGCTGGGAGTACCAGGCCTTGAAGAGATGCACATTTGGACTGGATTTCCTTTCTGTTCTGTATATTTGATTGCCCTTCTCGGGAACAACACTATCCTGTTTGTGATCAAGAATGAGCAAAGCCTTCATCAGCCCATGTTTTACTTCTTGGCTATGTTAGCCTGCATTGACCTGGGTCTGTCTACATCCACCATACCTAAGATGTTGGGCATATTCTGGTTTAATTTAAGGGAAATTAGCTTTGGGGGTTGTGTCACCCAGATGTTCTTCATTCATATATTCACTGCTATGGAGACTGTCGTGCTGCTTGCCATGGCCTTTGACCGCTATGTTGCCATCTGCAATCCTTTGCGGTATAGTCTGATTCTCACTAACAGAACTATTGGTTTCATCCTCATTGTGGTGTTTGGTGTTAATTTCATTTTGGTCATCCCTCTGGTGTTTCTCATCTTGAGGCTTCCCTTCTGTGGAAGCCATATAATCCCCCACACTTACTGTGAGCACATGGGAATCGCTCGACTTGCCTGTGCCAACATAAAGGTGAACATAATATTTGGATTGATTCTCATATCCATGGTGCTTGTTGATGTGATTCTGATTGTCATCTCCTATGTGAGAATACTCCTAGTTGTCTTCTGCCTTCCTTCTCGGGAGGTCAGACGAAAAGCCCTTAATACCTGTGGCTCCCATATCTGTGTTATTCTAGTCTTCTTCACTCCAGCATTTTTCTCCTTCATGACCCACCGGTTTGGCAGGAATGTCCCCATATACATTCACATTCTCCTGGCTAATCTATATGTTGTTGTTCCACCTGCCCTTAATCCTGTTATCTATGGAGTGAGGACTAAGCAGATTCGGGAGAGAGTTTCAAGCATCTTTTTGAGAAAAGGCTGATACAAGGTGTCTCAGAGATTTTGTTTTAGTCTAGGGAAAGGAGATTATGTTTCTCAACTACAGAATCTTGGAACAGAAAAAAAAAACTTTGACCTTAGTATTATTTCATTCATAATGAAATGTAATTAAGGCCCATAGAGCTCCAGGAATACTGCCTATAGAGATGCCAAGGGTCTTTTAAGTGGCCCCAATTCTAGGGTAGTGGCCTAGAAAACAGACTGCTCCATTGAGTGGTGCAGTATTCATTTCATGAGACTGCTAAAGGTTGGTCTATCAAAATAGTTCTGGCATGCTGATTTGGACGTGATTCAAACTGTTCACGTAGTCAGTGGCCCCAGAAAAAGCATTTGTTTGAGTAACTGTGCTTCTTAAGGACAGCGCAGGACTTTTGTAACCTACTACTTACATCAAAACATGTGGCATTGCCAACAACTCATAAGAAGCCTTCATGCCACTGCTAGTCAGTAACTTTCAGAGTTCATCATCTATTCACATCTGGTACTATAAATTAGTTTCTAGTTTTAATACTAATTAGGTCATGTAATATGCATCCTTTGTAGTGGCTTATTTTATTCAAAATTATATCTGTGAGATGAATTCATGTGATTGCTATAGTGAAACTTGTTACTTTCTATTGTTGTATAGTATTCCATTTTATGAGTGTACCAAATGTAATTATCCATTCTGAATGGGTATTTAGGCTTTATCCTATTTTTGGTTATTTTCAATAAAGTTGTTATAAATATTTCTCTACATGTTGTTTGGGAGATACTTGCAGGTGATTAGAACTTCTAAGGGTATGACTGCTGAGTGATATTTTCATATTAATAGAAAGTTCCAGTTTTCCAGAACTATACATCATTTTACATTTTTAGCAGCATCATTTACATTTTATGTATCAGCCAATTGCTGTGCATCCTCACCAGCACTATTTCTTTTTTATGTATGCTTGTGTGTGGATGTGGATGTGTATTTGTTTTTGTTACCATTATGTGGGATAAGTGATGCATTAGTATACATTTTCTTGATCATTAATGGTGTCATAAAAACTATGGCTATTTGGCATTTGGATGTTTTATTTAGAACACTTTGTAAAATCTGTGCTCATTTTTGTAGAATTTTTTTTCAGTGACATCATGAAAGTTCTTTTTATGGTCTGTATTTGAGTTCTGTCTCAGATATGTATATCCTGCAGGTATCTTCTCCCACTGTATGATCTAGCTTTTAACCCTTTACGTGGTATTTTTTGAGAAATTCAAGTTGTCATGTTCAATGCAGTTCAATTTATAAATATTTTTCAATAAAGCTATTGTTCTTTAGTCCTGTTGAAGAAATTTCTGCTGAACTCAATAACATGAAGATGTTCTCTTATGTTACCTTCAATATAGGCTTCCCTGGTGGCTCAGTGGTAAAGAATCCACCTGCCAATGTAGGAGACACAAGTTCAATCCTAGGGTTGGAAAGATTTCCTAGAGAAGGAAATGGCAACACATTCCAGTATTTTTGCATGGAAAATCCCATGGACAGACGGGCCTATTGGGCTACTATCTATGGGGTCTCAAAAGAGTTGGCCATCACTTAGTGACTGAAAAACAGCACCACCTTCAGTATGCTTTATTATTTTACTCCTACATTTAGCTCCATGATCCATCTAGAATTGATTTTTGTGTCTGATATGAAATTAGGACCAAGTTTCCTATATGATATCCCAGTTAATCCTGAACAATTTATCGAAAAGTCCATCTTTTCCACACTGTATTTCAGGACAATTTTGGAGTAAATCAGATACTAGTATAGAGATAGATCTATTTCTTGATTCAGTCATCCACTTTCCTATACATGTGCCAATACTATACTATATAAATTAATTTTATAATAGCAAATATAGGTTTCTGGTAAGGCCTTATATGGCTTTCCCAGGTGGCATTAACAGTAAAGAAACTGCCTGCCAATGCAGGAGACATAAGAGAAGAGGGCTTGATCCCCGGTAGAGAAGATTCCGTGCAGGAGGGCATGGCAAACCATTTCAGTATTCTTCCCTGGAGAATCCCATGGACAGAGGAGCCTAGCAGGCTACAGTCCATAGGATTGCAAGGAGTCAGAACAACTGAAGTGACTTAACACATATGCACACACAGCACAAAGCCTATATCGCATATATAGGAGTTCAGATCAAAACAGATGAATATTCCAGATATCAAGACACATTACAGGTAAGTAGGCATATCAAAACATCAAAACAAAGTGATTAGTGGAAAAAGTTTGAAATCTTTCCAGTTTTTATTCCTGAAGGTTATGAAAACTACTGAAGTTACCTGAACGCGAAATGAGAAAAAGACTAGGAAAAGAAAAAGAGCATTGCTCAGTTCAGTTCAGTTCAGTCGCTCAGTCATGTCCAACTCTTTGCGACCCCATGAATCACAGCACGCCAAGCCTCCCTGTCCATCACCAACTCCCTGAGCTTGCTCAAATTCATGTCCATCGAATCTTTGATGCCATTCAACCATCTCAAACTCTGTCGTCCCCTTCTCCTCCCTCCTTCAATCTTGCCCAGGATCAGGGTCTTTTCTAATGAGTCATTTCTTAGCATCAGATGGCCAAAGTATTGGAGTATCAGCTTCAGCATCAGTCCTTCCAATGAATATTCAGGAATGATTTCCTTTAGGTTGGACTAGTTTGATCTCCTTGCTGTCCAAGGGACTCTCAAGAGTTTTCTCCAACACCACAGTTCAAAAGCATTAATTCTTCAGCACTCAGCTTTCTTTATAGTCCCACTCTCACGTCCATACATGACTACTGGAAAAACCACAGCTTTGACTAGATGAACCTTTGTTGGCAAAGTAATGTTTCTGCTTTTTAATATGCTGCCTAGGTTGGCCATAGCTTTTCTTCCAAGGAGTAAGTGTCTTTTAATTTCATGGCTGCAGTCACCATCTGCAGTGATTTTGGAGCCCAAGAAAATTAAGTCTCTCACTGTTTCCACTGTTTCCCTGTTTATTTGCCATGAAGTGATGGGACCAGATGCCATGATCTTAGTTTTCTGAATGTTGAGTTTTAAGCCAAACTTTTCACTCTCCTCTTTCACTTTCATTAAGAGGCTCTTTAGTTCCTCTATCACTTTCTGCCATAAGGGTGGTATCATCTGCATATCTAAGGTTATTGATATTTCTCCTGGCAATCTTGATTCCAGCTTGGGCTTCATTCAGCCTGGCATTTCACATGATGTACTCTGCATATAAGTTAAATAAGCACGGTGACAACATACAGCCTTGACGTATTCCTTTTCCTATTTGGAACCAGTCTGTTGTACCATATCCAGTTCTAACTATTGCTTACTGACCTGCATACACATTTCTCAGGAGGCAGGTTGGGTGGTCTGGTATTCCCATCTCTTTCAGAATTTTCCACAGTTTATTGTGATCTACACAGTCAAAGGCTTTGGCATAATCAATAAAGCAGAAATAGGTGTTTTTCTGGAATTCTCTTGCTTACTCAATGATTCAACAGATGTTGGCAATTTGATCTCTGGTTCCTTTGCCTTTTCTGCATTGCTGGTGGAAATGAAATGGCACAGCCATTTTGGAAGACATTTGGTAGTCTTACAAAATTAAATGCATTATTACCATATAATCCAGAAATCAGTCATGCTTGCTGATATTTACCCAAAGGAGTAGAAAACTATATCCATAGAAAAACCTGCATTCAGATGTTTACAGCAAGTTTATTCATAATTGCCAAATTTTGGAAACAACCAAGGTGTCCTTCAATGGATGAAAGATGATGTGGTACATCTAAATAACAGATTATTGGCTAGCATTGAAAGAAATGAGCTAATAGGCCATGAAAAGACATGGAGGAAATTTAGATGCATATTACTAAGAGAAGGAAGCCAATGTTAAATGTCTTCATACTGTATGGTTCCAACTGTATGACATCCTAGAAAAGGCATGGCAACAGTAAATAGATCAGTGGTTTCCAGAAGTTGAGGGCTAGAAAATGGATGAATGCACAGGAGCACAGAGGATTTTTAGGGCAGGGAAAGACCCTGTATGATACTGCATTGGTTAATATATGTCATTGTACATTTGTCCAAACTCATGAAGAATACCGGTACCAAGAGTGAATCCTAATGTAAACTTCACTCACCCCGGGAAATAATGATGTGTCAATACAGGTTCATTAGTGGTAGCACATGTTACTAGTTTGGTGAGTGATGTTTAATGGAGGAGACTATCCATGTGGGGACAGAGCATATAAGAGAAATCTCTGTATCTTCCACTCAATTTTCTCATGAATCTAAAACTTCTCCAAAAAATACACTCTAAAAGGAACTAATATATAACTCAGGGAACTATACTCTCAATATTTTGCAGTAACTCATAAACAAAGAGAATCTGAAAAATTAGATATATTGATACATGTCTATATAACTGAATCACCTTACTGTACACCTAAACTAACACATTGTAGATCAACTACACCTTAATTAAAATAAATAAATAGCAGACTATTAAACATACAGTTCTTGTGTTATTATTTTAACTTGTTAAAATATAGTAAGCAATTCTTTAGAATATTGATACCAGTTGCTTTTGTTTTCTCCAATTGGATAGGAAAAGTTTTATTTTTATCTCTTCTGGGTTATT